AATACATTACCAAATCACAATGAATGATTCCTTCGTTATGCATGCATGCTACAGCATTTGCAAGTTGATAGGCTAATCTATATTTATCATTCCATTTAAGTTTTTCAAAATTGTCTTCTAAATAAGACTGCAATGTTCCACCATCAGCGTACTCCATAACCAACATATACTTATCCATTTCTAATTTTGATATTCCATAAAATTTTATAATATTCTCATGATAATCAACCTCACGTTGCATTTTTATCTATTAAATTAAAGCAATTTAATATATTTTATAATATAAGTGGAAAATTACAATATTTGTAATAGCATACCTCATTAACGATTTCTTTAATTTCTGAAACGTAAGATGATTTTAGAACCATAACGGTATCGGAATCGTTCCAGTTTGCACGAGAAATATTTCCATAAGAACCATTGCTAATTTCTTCCTTATTTACGAACTTTGTATAATCATAATATTTGATATCCAATCGAAGTATACGATTTCTTGTGTTTCAGTAGACATAATTACAAGGAAAAAAGAGTTTTTTTTTTTTTCCAAATTACACAAAGTATAGGCGTATTTGTATTACAAAATTTTTTCAACCGGGCAATGATTGTCGTACAATTAATTCCAGACTTTTATTGACTGCGCCTCTCGAGATTATGAGATATCGACTTGATTTACCTTCCCAAATATATTTTTTATTTATTTTATTTGTTCATGTAATAATATTACGAATATCAAAATATAAGCGCGGTCATAATGCTTGACCAAAAATTAGTTCATGTGCCGGCAGGGCACAATCCGCTCCTAAAAATGTTCTCTTGTTTAATGCTGAATTATCGTTCAATGCTATATAGCAGCCAATTTTAATGAAATTTTTTAATAATATTTACGCATAAAATCGTGTTGACTCAACATACTTCCAATAAAATGAGCGGAATTTTCAAAATCAAAGTTCTGTAATTGATAACATTTTATTACATACAGTTTGCAAAATTATGAAGTATTTTTTCCTAACTTTAGAGACAATTTTATTTTTTAATTAAAATTTTTTAAAAATTTTATTACATATTAATATTTTAAAATGTTTTCTAAGCAAATCAAAATGAAATGCTATTTAGTCAATAATATTTTAATAATAAATAAGTAATGAATTATTATAAAAATATCTATGCGCGCTTTATGAGAAAATTTCAATATTCTAAATTGAATTTTTCTGCAATCATTAGATATACAAATTAATCTATTAAGGTTTAAACATAATTAGTGAATTATTTTTGAGAAAATTAAATATAGTACAGTACCTTTGGATGCGTAATAAGTACTAGTTATCAAATAAATTTTATGATACGTTTTTAGCTTAGATAATTTTGATGATGTCAATGTGAAAAATTGCGGTGGTTACAGACAAAGAGGAATACCAAAATTTTCAAAGCATTACAGTTATTGAATTAATATCATTAATAATTAATTATTGGATATCAAACACTTAATAATTCAAATGATAAATAAATATTTAATTAGCTAGTTTGTTACATCTACAATACACTTGTTCAAAATGTTCATTTCTTTTTGTCAACAAAAAAAAACTTCTTTTTATGAAACATCTACCAAATGTATGTATTTAGTATCAGTAACATACAGAGCTCGACAAAAGTAATCAGAATCACATTTTTATTTATTTGCACTTCGAAAATTAATTAAAAATTTATGAAAATTTATATATATCTGCTTTATCTCATTACCATCACTGTGATGGCATACTACGTATTAAGTTAATAAAAATTTCATCTTCGATTTCCACTAACACTCTTTTTGTATAATACCTATTCTATTTTTTTTTGCATGCAGTTTATTCTACATGTTTCTTCAGAATTGACCATAAATTCTCGATAGGATTTAATGCCTGGACACCAATTTTCATAAAGTTGTTAAAATTGTATGACGTTGTGCAAAGCTAGTGCTCTGAGCCAGTCGAGTCGACCTAAGTCATTTGACCTGACTCGGGAAAAAATTTGAGTCAGGACTATTATTTTATGTTATGAGTCCTAATTTCTTAAAACCCGTCAGTTCAGGGTCACGAATTTGCTTAGCCTGGATGACCTGAATGATCAGGTAATATGGGAGCTTTGCTATTAAAAATAGATTCCAGGGACTTTTAACAAAAAATGAGATTTTTGATTCATATTATAGTATACTAAATGAACTTTATTTGGTTAAA